GATCCCAGGAAACTTGAATTTTCCTCATGTGCATGCATCATACTAGCAACTGGGTCAGTGATTTTTTGAAGCCAAACAATGCTTAAAAAGGTTTACGATAACTTCTTATGAATTGAGGGAAGAAAAGTTCTGCCCAATTCGCTACTAAGAGACATCCTTGACTCTGTACCAAACTCAAGATTACGTTTTAGGCTTATTTTTGTGCCTATCTATCTTTGTTGGACGTAATTTATTAACAGGAGACCAAGGCCACAAAGAATGGACTATGGGGAGGTAGCCAACGGCTCATCAGCGGCCCAAATTTGCGGTAGCATGAAACGACAGTGATCAATGTGTTGAAAATAATTTTTATACTTTCTTCAAATCCAGAAAAAGTGGACAATGCACTGGTACAATTTGAACTGATTAAGATATGAAACGGAAAAAATAATAGTCTAATTGTTTCCATAGTGTTCACATTAATTTTTTGGTTTTTTTCCAAAAAATCCCTGACAAATATTGCGAAGCTTTAAAAATGTGCAGATGGAAAGGGACCTTCCTGTAGAATTCACTTGAATTAATTGAGTTCCTTCAGAATGCCTCCGCTTCTCACAGAAAGTGAATATGAAAGAAGTTCTGAAATAATGAAACAAATTTTATTTACGGCAAAGCAATTGCAAAATTATTGTTTTTTTGAAAAGAAAAATCCAGACAGACTGCAAAAAAATGGCATTTTCTTTGTACTTCATTTGAATCAATCAAGCTAATTAAAGATACCTTCCTTTCTCACAGAAAGTGCATGCGAAAAAATTTCGACTTTTTGATGTAATAAAATAAAGGAAACTGGACTTTTGCTAGTATCGTGGGATTCACACTAACTTTTCGCTTTTCCACCAAAACATCCAGATGAATTGCGATAAAACATCAAGAAACCCCAAGTAATAAATAAATCTTCCTGTAAGCTTCCTTGTGTCTTTGTCTCTTATAGAGAGTGAATGCGGAGGGATTTTTGACCTTTTTATGTAATAAAGCGAAGAAAACATAAATATTTTTTTCCATGGAACCCACACGATGTTTTTGTTACTTCTTCTTAGAAATACAAGCAGTTTACGATATCCTTCAGGAAGCAAAGAATTATTTTTGTTCTTTTAAAAAGGAGTCAACACTTTCGAATACCTTTGCCTTGCATAAAAAATGAAAGCAGAGGGATATTGACTTATTGACTTTTTTTGAATAACTTTACAGTAAAAAAAGAAGTTTATACGAAATATTAGTACAGGAACTGTCTTTTAATGAATATCATTTTTCAAAAAGCTTTTTATGAGGATTTTATTTTTCAAAGTGCGAAATTTATCCAAATTTGCCGGTTTTAAAGGGTCTAAGTTCAGGACATGTATTGCTCTATCTCAGCAGCATCAAGAGATCCACACTAGTAGTCTGAAGTGACCATGCGGTTTCTGCTGGCAGTTCAGTTCCAACTTTGAATTTATAATTTCCACGCATTTCGCATCATCAAATCGAAATATGCATCGTTGTCGATGGATGCCGAAACACCGCTGTAGTAATTCACGAATTCTTCCTTCGTCACCTGCAAATATAATTATAAACGGCTCTCGCTTTTTTTTGCCCCGGAACTAGGGAATAGAGAAGGAAGCAGAGGGACAAAAAGGCGGAGAATGGAAGAAGAGAGACTTAATTCTGGAAGAACCGAAAACGATCAGTTGACCCTGACTCTCCCAAAACCGTGACAAACTTTTTTGCACCCCGCAATACGTAAAATTTCAATCACGAATTAAGATTTGAATAAGCAGTAGCCACTTGATACTGCTCCTGGTCAGCGGATATTAGTCTTTACTTAACCCAATTTCCAAAATATGTTCAACGATGAATATTCATCATTATTTTGAGTAGAAAAAGTGAACGTCAGGACTACCAGCATGCTAACCACTTCGAAATGCAGCGTTAGTCAAAAAGACTGGAAAAATTGCCAGGAACCGGGGTTATTCCGAGTGCTTCAGAAATATCATTCTTGTTTTCATTTAATACTGGTTATATTGCTGGTGTTAGTGTTAAATAAAAATTTTATGCTTTCTATCAACAAAAGCCCTATCCCGCCATCGACACAACCAACATCTTCACGATTCGTTCATTCGTTTCGATGACAAATTGATCCAAGCACGCGACAGAAAATCACCCCATTGTCACCTCGTAACCATCGAGTGAGACAGTCACTGAAAGCCTGGTTGCTGTTGGTATTTGCTTCCCTCAAATTTTTGAGTGAAAAAATCTTGCTTATTCAAAACTTCTAAAGTCCACAACCTTTCCATCGACATGTCCGCCAACTTCAAAATTGTTGAGAAATTGATTGAAGACATCATCTCGGGATTTTTCACCCGAAATGTACTGCGGATGCCGTTCCGCATGATAAACTCCCTTCATATCGTCCACTGTTATTACACCATCGCCCGTTTTGTCAAGCTTCTTGAATGCAGCATCGATAAGTGCCAGACGAGCCTTCGACATCGGCGGCTGAAAATTTGCGCAGTGCACATACATGCCGAGTAATCGATAAAACAAGAGCACCCGTCAAACTTTGAGGATCCTCAGCCAATAAATGACTTCTTTTACGAGTTTTTTAATTACATTTATAGAATGATAACCCAGGCTGGAACGCACCAGGCGAGCCGGTGCGATCATGCGTTTTTGCATCAAAAGGTACTCCATCAAATTTCCCTGCTTTTTTGAAATGCAAGTTTCCAGGTCACTAAAAAGTAAAAGTATTGCCCGAGCGGTCGTCTCCAAAAAAACCGCGTTCATTT